TTTTTTTCTTTTTGTATATTACTATTATTTTTATGAATGCAAATTTTAATTGTTAATTACAAAATAATTGTATAAATTCCCAACTTATTGAAACAATTAAAATAATAAATGCATCCAATGTGACGAGTATGTTAAAATTAAAAATTACTAAAATAAAGACAAATTAATATAATATTAAATACATCTTAATGAGTGCCTCAAAAATTTTGTTAGCCTTTACCAACATAAAATATTATGTTTTCTTTCTCTCTGAAATAAGGAATAAAAAGTAACATTTATTAAAAAGAAAAAAAAAAGAGTATATAGCATTGTTGGAGAAAATAGCAGGGAATTGACCCCTAAAATATAGAAATCTACTTTTTCATAATAATTTTGACAAAAAATAAAATAAAAATAGATAACCTTGTTGAAAATGCTCTAAAAAGAGAGTAATTTTTATTGCATAACTATAAGGCTTGAACCTGAAAAAAAATTCTTTATTCACAAGTCAGACTTAGTGTCAAGAGCACATGTCAAGCATTTAAAATCGTCAATGCAAATTAAAACATCTTCCGCTGGTTCCGCTTGAATGAGTCTCTTTTTGAAAAGAGTCACTCGTGTGCGAGTCTTTTTTGAAGAAGAATTTTATTCAAACGCATTCGAACTAAACAAATTCAGTGAATGAATCATTAATCTTAATTTTTAGTACAATAATCTTTTTGTAATTTATCCAATTTTATATGTTGGGGGAGGGCACATGAGTTAGGCGACCCAGACCTAACAAATAATGCATTAAATATTTTAAAATTGGACTTTTTTTAAGTTTAAATCTCAACTTGATCATAATTTTTATTTCGATGATATGAATTATTTATTTTATAAAAAATTATATATTATTCATAAAAAAAATTAAATTAATATAATAGTTGTAACTTTTTTTTTTATTGTTTTATTGTGTTTGTTTCAAAAAATTGATGATATACGTTTAAAAACATATTTATCGTCTATATTTTAAAAAATAAAATTGATAAAATAAATAATTTATAATTATCGAATTAATTTAATTTTTTTTATAAATGATATATACAAATAGTCTTACAAAATAAAATATTTAAATTATCAAAATATTATTGTAATGAATCCTTACAAGTTTAAACAAAACGGTCAAGTTAAATTTAAATTTAAAAAAAAAAAAAACTTGAACTCATATTATAAATTTATAAAATAACAAAGAGAGGAAACCAATAACAAATAAATGTCCATCATCACATTTACCAGTTAGAAACTAAGGGGTTGTTTGAGATAATCTAAATAAATGTACTTTTTGACTTTTTATGAAATATAGATTGGATTTGGATTGGGTTTAAAGTGATGCGTTAAAGAGGTGATGTAACTTAAATAAGATGATATGACTTAAATAGAATAGTAACTTTTTGACTTTTTAAATTTTTTTGAGAATACCAACCTTCACCTAATAACAAATAACAAATAACAAATAACAAATAACATGCAATTCCGGCACGTTCGTTATAAAGGGATTAGAAGGTGAGATAAGGGCACGGACCCTGTGTCTGCTCCTCTCAAAACCTCATGTAGTTAGTTCAAATATACCGTTTATTTTTTTTTTAAATAAATAAAATAATATTTTGCAATTATGAGGCTTATATAAGTGTTTGTTATTTTTTAAATAACATGCTTATAACTTATTTTAATGTGAGAGTTTATAATAAATTATTTTTTTATAATTTTTACTTCTAAATTATTAGAAAAACATAATTTAAATAAGCTAAAAAAAGGGTTAATTATTTAGAAGCTGAAGAAATTGTGCTTTTAACTTCTTCTTTTTGATTATCAACTTTTAATTTACAATAAATTATACCAAATAAGGCCATAAAATTAAAATATGGGAGTATGTGTTATATCTTAAATGACTTGTTTATAGTTTATTTTAATTTCAGAAGCTATGTTAGACTGTTTAATGTTGTTTGTGCTTATAAGCCATAAACAGTTTAAATAAATTAACTATTTAAAAGGTAAGGTACTTATAATTTTTACTTTACGATTACCAACTTTTAATTTATAATAAATTGCACCAAGCAAGATGATCATAAACAGCTTGGATTGTCTTAACATGCCTTATTACACTGAGTCTAAGACTACAAATGAATAGAGTTGTTTGCGAATAAGTTCGAACTCGGCTCGATAAAGACTCGTTCGAACTCGATTTGTTAAATTTTTATTGCATTCGAACTCGTTAAAATTTTAATAAACAAGTCAAAATATATTAAAACTCAACTCGTTAGCTAACTCGTTTAACATTTAATTAAATATTATAATAAATATATTATTTATATATTAAATAATGTAAAAATATTTATAAAACAGAATAAATATGTTATTTATATTTAAATAATATAAATGTCAATAATAACTAAATTTATTTATATTTAAATAATAATTAACTATAGATAATACATTTATATAATAGTAGTGGTAGATATTATTATTTTGGTAAGATATTGACTTTTTTTAATCGGCAGTGCTACGTAGCTCGAAAGCTACCCCCGAATCTTCCTAAACCCTAAACAACGCCGTTTTTGTTTTGTTTTGTTTTGTTTTGTTTTGTTTTTTTTTTTTTTTCTTCTCATACCCCTTGCACATAATGCACCACTTAGGGGCTTTTGTTATACTCATACATAGGGCTGCAAAGGAACCGAGCCGTTTGTGAACATGTTCGAGCTCGACTCGGCAAGAGCTTGTTCGAACTTGGTTCGTTAATTTTTTTTTTGCGTTCGAGCTCTACCTCAAGCTCTAGCTCAAGCTCGTTAAATTTTTAATAAATAAGTCCAAACATACTAAAATTCGGCTCGTAAGCTCAGCTCGTTAGCTAGCTCATTTAACATTTATTATTTTTATGTTAAATAATATAAAAATATGAATAAAAAATAAGATAAATATGTTATTTATATATTTAAAAAATATAAATTTAAATAATAGTTAACTATAGATAGTACATTTATATAATAGTGGTAGTAGATATTATTATTTTAGTAAAATATGGACTTTTTTTTAGTATGTATATATATATATTATATATAATTGTATAATCAAATTTTCAATTATAACTTTAATCTAATGCATGAGTATAAATTTATAATTTCTTTGTCTCGTTAATGCTCGTGAATAATTTCAAATTCAAGTTAAACCTAGTCAACGTGATTCAAATTCGAATTGTTAAATTTTTATTGAGTTCGGGTTTAAGCTCAAGTTCAAATTTAAGCTTGTTAAAATCTTAATAAATAAATTCAAAATATCTTAAAGTTCGGCTTGACTTGTTTGCGACCATTATTTGCCACTTAAAATGCAAACAGATAATTTTTTTTTAACAAACATTAAAGATTAAAAAATAATTTTCTTTTTTTATAATACTCATGCAAGTCTCATATAATATGAATTTCACACTTATATAAATATTAGGTAAAAATTCTGATAACTTTATTTATGGTGAATTTCTCACAACTTTTTTTTAGGGTTCATATCATTTATCTTTTTAAAAAAAAAATTATAATTCAGTTTAAATTTTTTAAAATAATTTCGAATCAATAATAAAATTTAGGATCATTAATAATTAAAATCTTAAATATTGTTATAAATTTATAATTATTTTATAAAAACACCATTAAATTGTAATTTCTTCTTTTATAAATAACCTCAAAATGTGTTGTAATTAGAGTTGGGAAAATTTTACTTCAGAAGTAATTTTAAAAAATAATTACAAATAAATTATAAATTTTATAAATATTAAATATTATAATTTTAATTTCATGAATCTGTAACAAATTTTTAACTATGAGTAATTTTTCCATTAGAATTTCACATGGGGCCCACTGGGTTGTCATTAGTCAAAAGGTCTGACCCCTAATAGGTCTGAAGCATGGACGAGTGTACGTTTGCCGACCTTTTGCTTTTGAAAAATATTAGAGATTTTAAGGTGGTGTTTGGCAAGTGGGTTGGGGCTAAAATAGCCACAAAAGACAAAACAGGCTATTTTAGCCACAACAAACAAAACATCACATCCAACCCATAATCATTACACTCTTCTCTCACAAAAAAAAGCCAAAAAGTCAAAAAGCCAAAAAGCCCTTCCCAAACCAAGCTTTTTAGCCCAGGCTAAAATAGCCAAAAAAGCCAAAAAGCCAAAAAGCCAACCCACTTCCCAAACGGAGGCTAAATAATTTATTAAAATTTTGATTAAACTTTTTATATAAGTATAGAATTCATATAAATCTATATATGTATGAATCTCACATTTATATGAGAGGTTTTATAAAAATTTTCATAGATTATTATGTTTCGGAACATATGAGAGAAAAGAAAAGAATTGATTAATTAAGTTATAAGAGAAAAAAAAAATGATTGTGATTTCTCTCTATCTTGTCTGGATAAATAAAAAATAAAAAATAATTATGATTTTTCTCCTTCTTGTTTGGTTAGATTTCATAAGAGAAAAGAAAAGAAATTATTTTATGTTATATTACCAAAATAACCCTTTTATATTTTGTCAATTATTTTATTTCTTTTATTTTTATAAGGACAAAATTGATATTATACAAATATAAGAATTTATTGATTTCTTTTCTATCTCAATCTCTTTACTTTTGAAAAAATTAAAAATAAAAATTATAAAAGAAATAGATTTCTTTCTATTTTTCTCAATTTTTCTCCACTTAAATTATTTAAATAAATAAAAAAAATATACTTCCCTCTATTTCTTTACTTTCCTCGCCAAATCACTCAAACATAGTAGAACTCTTTGCTTTATTCTCATGATCCGTCTTAACAACAAGACGACGTAGTGGAAGTGGTGGGCCATCCACTGCAATCTGCACCCTCCCACAGTCTATCCATTACCCACCCACCCCACTATAGGTTTAATCATTTGACACCCTTGTGATCTTTGGGTTTCTTGCTTGCACAAATATTTGATTATTTCTCTCCTTTTATGTATATATATAAATGGTTATTGTGTTATCAGTGTGTAGTCATCAAAGGCAAATCATTGGTCTTTCTGTCTCTCTCTCTCTCTCTCTAGCTTTCTCTCTCTTCATTCCTGGTAAGAATAGAAGACAAAGGAGTTATCTTTATCTCTAGCTTCCCCCCCTCTCTTCATTCCTGGTAAGAGGGGGAAGACAGGTTCCATTTTAGAAGATGGACATGGAGAATGGTGCAGATAAGGCAATAATGGACCACCAACAACTGCAACGAGAAGAAGAAGCTCCACCCAGAAGAAAAAAGGGTGGCCTTATAACCATGCCATTCATCATAGGTACAGCTTTTGATGCATATACATATATATATATATATAAATGAATGAGCTATATATATTGATGAGTTTGAGTTTGTTAGGTTTTCTAATTAATTCTCATAAAACGAATGATATATATAGCTCATATAAATATATATTTGAGCTATATATATTTATATAAATGATATATGAGTTGTAATTTTTGATATGATAAAAATTACAGCAAACGAAGCATTGGAGAAGGTTGCAAGTTACGGACTGTCTGCAAACATGATATTGTATGTGATGGGAGACTATCACATAGGGGTAACACAAGCCACAAACATACTCTTCCTGTGGTCAGCTGCTACCAATTTCTTGCCTCTTGTTGGGGCTTTCATCTCTGATTCTTATCTGGGTCGCTACCTCACTATTGGCCTTGGTTGTATCGCCAGTCTCCTGGTAATAATTCATTCACACTCTAACTCACTGTTTTGTGGCTCGGGCTCTTTTGTCTTTGTCTCCATCATTAATCATGGGTCGTATCTCAATAATTTTTTTTTCTTAAAATACTAGTCTTCTATTTTATTTTTTTAAAAAAAAATTAATATCTTTTTAAAAATTAAAAATTAAAATAATATAATTTTTTTATTTTATTCTTCTGTTAAATTTATTAACAATACAAAAAATATAATTATAATAATTGATATTTTTCAAAAAATATATTATCAGAAAGTAATTTTAAAAAATTAATTTTTTTAAAATATAATAATTGTATTATAAAAACAATTAAATACCTTAAAAGAATTATTATTTTAGAAATAAGAAAGTATTTAGCACTACATAGTCTAATTAAAGTGCAATAATCGTTTCTCAAAATTCTCATCTATTGAGATTCCAACTACATAATATAATCAATCTTAAAGGATTGTATTGTATCCCATCCCCAGACCCAGTTGTATTTGGAGTTTCTTTTTATTTAAAATTATAACTACATAAATGAGAGGGTTTTGGGATTGAGTGTGTATTGGAGATTGAGACAGATTTTGGGGCTTGATTTATTGACGAGTGCGTGTAACCATAATATTGGTTGAAGCGAGGGACCATTGAATTAGGCTAGTTTGATTATTCAAATTAAATAATTCCAATTTGTGTCAGGATAAGTTTAAAATTTTTGTAAATTATTCGAATCACTCAATTTGTGTAAGCATCAAAGAAAAGATATTTAGAAAGCCTCAATTCTTATGTTTTAAAATAAATAAACAAATGTTATTGATCATAAAGTTTCTGATTATTTTTCAAAGCCAAAAAACATAAATGTGCCGAGGCATGGCCGCGTAGTAAAGATTTATAAATAACATGATGCACATAAATTGATCCTGATATCAGTATGTCAGTTTAAAAATGTTCATTTACCTTTTTTTAGACAACTAGACAGTGCTTTATAAGAAATATTCATAAAGATTACACAATCAAACACATGAATATGCCAATTTAAAAATGGTCCCATATCATTTTTTTGAAACTACTACACAGGCCTATATAAAAAATTCTAATCATATAATATTGTCACGTAGAATTTCCTGGCCTAATGTGAAAGTGGCCTTTTTTAAAATTATGAGCCACAATATTTTTATTTTTTTTAATTTCAAAGTAATAAGATTGAAATCTGCTGCACAATTTTCTAAGATTTGTATAGAACTTTATTCTTTAAGTGTTAATGGCTTTTTTTAGCAGTAATGATACTTTGAATTCTTAAGCACATTGAGGCTGCTTTATCATACACATGTTTAAAGGTGAAAAAGCCTAAAGCAATTTTTTTTTTTTTTTCTTCTTTTAAAGGATCCCAAAATATGCAACTTTTTTGCTGTCATTAAGTACATTCATGTTTGTGTTCATGGAAAATTTCATGAGAAAATGCAAAACAGTTTCCTGTGGACAGTAGCTATGACAGAAAATGCGACAAATCTAAACTTCATATGAAAAACATTAATCAAAATGATTGAAACATCTTCAATGACTTCAGCAACACATTGTATGATGGATTTAAGAACTTATAATCAAATAAATTGAATTGTCAAACGAATTATTTGGATTTGTAATCCATTTTCTGGCATAACCACCAAATCAAAACAAATTTTTTTCACTGTTGCAGGGTATTGTAGTCCTTTGGTTGACTGCTATGATCCCACAAGCAAGGCCTCCCCATTGCAATCTGTACAAGGAGAGCTGCAAATCGCCGAGTTCAGCCCAGTATGCTATTCTTCTTGGTTCTTTTGCCCTCATGTCTATTGGAGCCGGTGGCATTAGACCGTGTTCTATAGCATTCGGAGCAGATCAAGTGGACAATAGAGCTGGTCGCCAGAACGAGAACAACAGGGTTTTAGAGAAATTCTTTAGCTGGTACTACGCTGCAACTGCTGTTGCAGTCTTGGTTGCTTTCACCGTCATTGTTTACCTTCAAGATCATACCGGTTGGAAAATAGGGTTTGGAATCCCGGCAATCCTCATGTTCTTGTCTGCTCTCTCGTTCTTCCTCGCTTCCCCTTTTTATATCAAGCAAAAAGCTACCTCGAGCTTGTTTACTAGTCTTGTGCAAGTGATGGTGGTTTCTTTCAAGAACAGAAGGGTAGCATTCCCATCTCAGACCTCGATTTTGAGGTATCATAACAAGGACTCAACGCTGTCAGAGCCAACTAATAAACTTGGGTATGTCATCCTCCTCCTCTTAACGTCGTTAATTAATGCTCCGTTTATTTCGACAGAAAACATTTCCCCATGTTTGTTACGACTTTGAGACTAATATGCTAGTTGTTGTATTAGTGATAGTAGTAGTGGCAGTGATAATGGTGGTGGGGTGGTGGAGGTGGAGGTGCTAGGGTGATAGTGGTAATGGTGTGGGGTAGTGGAGGAAAGATAGTGTAGGCTTTAGTCTAGAAAACGTTTTTAATATTTTAAAAATAAAAAACATTTTCTTGGACGGAGAGGGAAATAGCACCTCCTCTAGCCTCTGATCCTCCTTGGTGACAGTGGTGGTGCTGGGCGGAATGGGATTAAAAGAGGCGGTGGTAGGGTGTTGGACGTATAGTAAGATTTTAGTTTGAAAATGCTTTTCATCTTTTAAAATTGAAAAACATGCTTAGATAAGAAGGCTTCCTACTCTAGCCTCTGATCTTCCTTGCATCTATTCCAAATTTCGTCTTACCAAATGCCAGATAATAAGACATTTTTTGCCGTAATAAACACTTCTCCATTACTACAATACTAATCTTGTCATTTTCATGGCTTTACAGGTTCTTAAACAAAGCTTGCATCATCAGAAACCCCGAGGACCTAACACCAGACGGAGCAGCCTCGAATCCATGGAAGCTCTGCACTGTAGAACAAGTTGAAGAACTCAAATCACTCGTCAGAGTCATGCCATTGTGGTCTTCAGCTATCATGATGTCAATAAACGTAAGCCAAGGTTCATTTCAATTACTCCAAGCTAAATCCATGGATCGACACGTAACCTCCAGCTTCTCAATCCCAGCAGGCTCGTTCGGCATGTTCACAATCGCCGGCGCAGTACTTTGGATCGTTACCTACGATCGTGTGATCCTTCCCTTATCATCGAAAATCAGAGGAAAACCTGCTCGCGTTGGCTTAAAAACGAGAATGGGTCTAGGCCTATTTTGCTCTTTCCTAGCTATGGCGGTTGCAGCAACCGTAGAGCATTTTCGAAAAAGAAAGGCAATAGAGAGCGGGTTTTTGAACAACCCGCTAGGAGTGATTCCTATGTCGGCTATGTTTCTCGTGCCACAACATCTCTTGAACGGTATGGCTGAGGCGTTCAATGCAGTTGCCCAAAACGAGTTCTTTTACTCTGAATTACCAAAGAAAATGTCGAGCATTGCTATATGCATGGCTGGGCTTGGGCTGGCTGTGGGCAGCTTGTTAGCAAGTGTTGTAATAAACACGGTGGATAAACTAACGAGAAGAGGAGGGAAGGAGAGTTGGCTCTCGAATAATATTAATAAGGCCCATTACGAGAGTTATTATTGGCTTCTGGCGATTATGAGTGCGATCAATATATTTTATTTTCTTCTGTGTAGTTGGGCTTATGGATCATGCTCGAGTGAAGGGTTTTTTACACATAGACATGAGGGGAAAGATGTGGAGGAAGAAGAGATGTCTAAGATTGGGAATGGAGATAATAAGGAGCTAGAAGAGATGTCTAAGATTGGGAATGGAGATAAAAAAGAAGTAGAAGAGATGTCTAAGATTGGGAATGGAGATAATAAGGAACTAGAAGAGAAGTCTAAGATTGGGAATGGAGGTAACAAGAACGAAGGAAAAGAATCCAAGGGAGAAGAGGTATAGAGTTATTATTGTTTTACATTTTGAGGAATACCCAATTGTGTTGTAGATTTGTTGTATGCCTAAAAATAAAAATTTGTGTTTGTAGTTTTGGGATTGTCATTCCTAATATCCATCCATTATAGAGATTTATGCAAGTTGCTTTTACAATTCTTTGTCTTGTGTGAAATTTATGAAAGAGATGTGTAGGAAGAGTTATCCTATTTTGTGCTACTGAGGTATGACTTTCTAATTATCATTGCTCCTTTCATTTTATTTTAGTGATACAATTAGCAATGATGTCTAAAAATAAAAACTAATTAAAAAAGAAATGTTATATATCACTTTTTTTTCTCACCACCTATGTGGATTACTCATAATTGGTTCTTTTTCTGGAGATAATCATTAAGAAAATAATGAAGACAAATAATGTAGTCCTATATGGAAAAGAGTAACCAAAAAAAAAGAAAATATATAACAACTCTCATTAAAGAAAAATATAGAAGCACATATGACATTCAAGCAAAGAGCATTTATGGTCGGTTTGGGATGAGAAGATTTTATATAAAAGGTCAAAAGGTTAAAATATTTTTAATTCATACAAAAAGAAAAAAAAGTTAAAGATTCGTTCACATTTTATTTATTCTTTTACACATTTTCTTGTAAAATTTTAAAAAACCATTCTCAAACACTTTTAGTTTTTCTTTCATATTTTAGCCAAAAAATACTTGAAAAGTGACATATTCAATTTAATTTTAAAAATATAATTCTCGTCTATTTTTTTTTTTACAAACGAGATAAATTAAATAAGTTACGATTATCAAATTGATATTTTTTTTTTGTAGTTAAAATACATCAGGTATCCGATAAAATAAACGATTTAAATTATCGAAACAGTATCCGTGATGATTCTCACGAACTCAAACAACACCCTCTAATTTAGAATTTGAACTGAAAAAAAATCCTAATTTCTTTTTAATGATCTAAAGATTAAGAATGTTGTGAGACAATAAAAAGATTTAGGGGAGAGAGTGTTTAGCCGAAAGCCATGGTATGCAGGGCCCAGCAAAGCAGGAAAGTGGAATCGAAAGGTGTATTCATTATTACACATTATTATCTCCAAAGCCAAACCATGAGGAGAGGAGGAGGGTATGTGTGTGTGCACGAGTACCTCGTGGATGGCATTGCGAGAGCTCATGCGAAGCATACGAAATGAATTGACTCATTATTGATGCTTCTCACTTTTAATTATGTGATGCTCCATCATTTACCGTCAAAAAATGATGGGTTCACCACATCCCTGTTCGGTCCATGGCTTGGTTAAGGAAGAATTAAAAAATTATTAAAAAAATAAAAAAATTAAATAATTATACAAAAAAGTTTCTCTATTTTTGTAAATATTTTCATAAAAAATTATTTAAAAAATCGTTCTAAACATACTAAATTTTTTATATCTCAATCTCATATTTTAACTAAAAAGTAAAAAACATACTCGTTTCATTTGGGATGTGAGTTGGGGGCTAAATTAACCAATAAAGACAAAATATGTTAGTTTAGTCAATAAGACAAAATATCACATTTAAATCATAATCATTTCATTTTTCTTCAAACAACCATCAAATCAACTCTAAATAAAAAAAAAAAAAAACCAATCATCATCCCAAAAACAATTTTTTTAGCTAGGCTAAAATAGTAAAAAAGTCAAACTAAAAAAGTTTATCCTAAACGAAGGCTAAAATAGTCTATTCCTAAACCAACCCTCAATTTAAAAAGGAAATTGCTAAATACCCCCATCTTTCTTCTTAGGACCCCCACTTCTTTGGACCCCTACCGCCAAAATTGCTTTGTTCCTTATTTTTCTGTGGACCCCTTCCATAATCCCAAATATACCCTTTAAACTCTCATCCCAACACATTTCAACTGGCAACTTCTCTTCACATCCGACAGCCCTCCCACGGCCTTTCTCTTTTATTGGAGACCCTCCTTCAGCGCTCCTCCCTCATCGACGACTTTTCTTTTCCGACGACCTACCTTCTAGCTCCATCTTCCTTCCCATTCTTTCATCAGCAATCTTCCATATTGTTTGTTTCACCCAAATCTCCCATTCCACTAATTTCAATCATCTGCCATTACTGCCACCCATATAACTACTTAGAGCCCTCTCCTACAAGCTCGTGTTCGATTTTTCTTTATTTTTTAAATCATCTTTGCTTGGTTTGAAAAACTAGTACCAAACAAATGGTGGAAGTTTGGATGTCAACCACTGAACAAACAGTGGTAGTTCAAATATAGACCATTGAACAAATGGTGATGGTTTGGCCCTGAACTACGAAACGGAATCTGGGGAGATCGCAAGTAGTACTACAGTTGTGACAATCATGCAAGGAGGGTAGATTTGCCACTATCACTGATCTTTTGTAATCGCAATAGTAATTTGGCGAGAAATTAATAGATAAGAAATAGAGAAAGAGTCTTAAAATGGTGTGGGTGGTGCTAATGGTTGGTGAGTAAAGGTGGAGGTGTTAGTGGCTAAAGGTGATGTTAGTGATGTTAGTAGAGGTTACTGGCCAAAATGAGGGGTGGCGGCCAGTGTTCGGGTGATGGAGATAGTTGGCGGGATTAGAGTTAGGGTTTGGGAAATTAGGGTTAGAAAGTTAGGGATGGGACTAAAAATAAGATTTTATGTTTGGACAAAATTAGAAAAAAAAATAAAAAATATGGGAGGTCATAAGAAAAAAGGGAAGGATAAATAGCACTACTCTTTACAAATAAGTTAATGATTAAATCATTATTTATGATTTTATAAAATTTAAAATTAAATTAAATCACAAAAAAAAAAAAAAGAACTAAACCACATTGAACTATTAAAATGTTGTTCAATTTGGTTCGGAACTACAATTTTTATGAATGTTGTCATCATTCATAATATGGTCACAAAATATTATTCACAACTTAAAATTGTTTTAAAATGATCGTTTAAGATATTTGAGTGTTTACAATAAGTAACAAATTATGTATATATATATATATATATTAAAGGATCCGGTTCAGTTCCCAATGGATCATAATTAACTATAACATCACGGACCAAACCATAAAGTGTGATTCGCTTATTTTAAGAATTAAGACTGAACCATAGATTAAGAAAATCTAACGAAACAGTGTGATTTAATCTAAATTGGATTGATTTGTAATTATTTAAAATTATTTTGTTCCATTCTTCAGTAGAGGCACTACAAAAAATTAAGGTTTTAGAAACTAAAATTTAGAGACAAAATTATTTTTTAGGGACCAAAAATTTTTGTTGCAAAAAGTGTCGCTATTATATTTTTAGCAACAAAAATTGGACATCAATGACGAATTATTATTTTTTTTGGACCAAATTTTTTGTCTCAAAAAATAAATCATTTTGTGGCCAAATTATTTTGTTTATAAAAGTGTATTTATTAGTAACATTTTCAAAATTGTCGGCAAAGTCTTATTTTTTATTTTTCTGGACGACTTTTTAACGACTATCCTCACGACGATAGAAATTGGCCCCTAAATATCTTTTGCAACAAAATTTTCACTTTTTGAGAACAAAAAATTTGGTCTCTAAAACTCTTATATGTTGTAGTACGGAGATTGGATGTTTGATCTCCGCAAGTAATTATCCAGTCTTCTAAAGTGTATTGTTGGCTTGTTTTGGGTGCACCATGAAACCTTTCTCAGTTGTCTGAATTGTTCACATTTAAGAGCCTTATGAGTATATTATTTATACAACAAATTAGATTATACTATAATCACATAGTTAAATCACATTTGTCTTTTAAAAAAAAAATAATCCACAATATTTATACCTAATCTCAAATGTATCCAATCAATTTAAATGATCCACGATTAAAAATTAGCCAATACCAATTTAAAAATGATCCACATTTATTCATTCGATTAATTTAATTTTTTAATATAACTAATCTACTCAAATGTTCACATCTCGAATTAAAAAATTAAATTGTGTTTAGAGTGTATGATTTAAAATAAAATAATAAAAAAAAACACACACACACACAATATTTAATTGTTAACAAAACGAACAACAAACAACAAAACGACAACAACATGGGCTAGCTCAAGGCCCGGCTCAGTCTCTGCATGACAACTAATCAATCCTGGCCCAGATAGAAGCCCATCCAAAAGAAAAACATCAATCAATATAAGCCCACCAATATAACCCATAAACATTTTACAATATAAAGGCCCATGTCCAACTCAGTTTTGAAGTGGGCATGCCTCCAAGGAAACACCAAACATACAATTAAGATCAAATATATTATTATCATTATTATAAACAAAACGAAATTCGGTATAATTATGTTAAAATCATGTGGTGGTTTGTAATTTTTTTTAAAAATTTCAATGGAGGTTAATGTAATATATCATAATTTTTAATTATAAAGGAAAATATCTGTTTGGTACATTTTTATAAGTTTTTTTTTTTTTAGTTTTTTTTTTTTTTTTTTTTTTAAACTTCAACCCATTTTTTCATATTTTAATTATTTTTTTAATTAAAAAAAATAGACATCTAATCTACATGTACTTAAATAGAAAAAAAAATATGATTTTTTTTAATTTATTAAAAGAAGAAAAAAAATAAAGTAAGTCCGTATTTTTTTTCAATTTTAGTGAATTTTTAAAAAATATTTTTATTTTTTAGGTGTATTTAAAATATAAAAATATAAAAATATGAATTTTTTTTTCCCCTAAAAATAAAAAATTTAAAAATTGTATTTAAGGCCTTGTTAGGTATCCAACTAAAAGTCATTTTTTTTCAAACTTTTTTCTCTCTCATCTTTTTTTTTTTTCAATTTGTGTCAAAATTTTTTATTTTTCCATCCATCAAGAATTTATAAATTTTTTCAGAAAATTAAAAAAAATTCACTCAAAATTTTAAAAAAATTAAAAATAAATCACTCTGTTTGGTTTTCAATTTTCAAAAATAGTTTTTTGAATTTTCAATTCATATTTTTATATTTTTAATAATTTTTTAATTTTTTAATTTTTTTAAAATTTTAAGATTCACTTAATCTTAATTTTTTTTAGAGAGTACTTAATCTTAATATACTTTAAAAATAAAAAATTTATACATAAATTTTTAAAAAATTCATTGAATACAATAAAATACAAAAGTATATTGAATTTTCATTTTTTTTTGTATTTTTTGAATTTTTTTAAAAAATAATCACAAACATTAT